AAAAAAAAAAAAAAAAAAAAAAAAAAAAAAAAAAAAAAAAAAAAAAAAAACAATATGTATGTATGTATTTAATGAGCATATTTAAAGTGTAGACACTGCAAAAACAAACATAAAAACAAAAACCAAAAAAGAAAAACAAAAACAAAAATCAAATTTAAGAAAAACAAAAAGAGAATAATGCATATGAAAATTTGATTGGAACTTTGCAATAGGCGTTTATAAATTAAATTTAATCAATTGAAGCGCCACACAGAAGCTGCAAACAAACAAAAAACTAGCAGCAGAAAAAAAAAATCGAGAGAAAACCCAAATGAAGAACTTGAATTTGTTTGCTTTTAATTTAACCAAACGCCAAAATTTGAATTTTTGTGTCATTTAAGAGCAGCAACAATTGGCATGGATATATCGTATATAGCATACTAAGTTATAGGATTGTGAAACTATTCCTCAGATATCACGTTATGTGCCACAAAACAACCGTGTGTGCAGAGGCAAAACATGACGAAATGAATACAAGTTTAATAAAGCGATAAAACACAAAATTCGAGTTTTCTCTGTATTTATTATTAATGAGTGAAGGGAGTAGGGCAGCATCGTGCTCAGAAATAGATTGAAGGTAATCCTTTCTAGGTTACACCAAAGATATACTAGCCAAATGCCTTTAGATGTTTTGCAGTCAACCATACATAGGTAGTTTTCTCAATCATAATAATTATTATTAATTAGACTCCTCTCTACACAGATGATTTATCGGCGAAGATCCTAAATGCTATTAATCTTATTGCAACGTAAATTTCCAATTGGAAATCGTTGGCAAATTCTGCCCCCATATTTTAGCAACTGGTAAATGCTCCGACTTTATAATTTTTATTCACTTAAAAACGTAGCTCCAAATACACTTATAATTTTACGATGTTTAATATATGTATGTATTTATCATTATATGTATGTGTATGTGTATTGTTTATTATCATTATAATGTATATAGAACTTCAATATCGGTCGTTCAGCTAACGCCGATAGTGCACGAATGATAAGTGAGGCTAATCTTTTCATGGATTTATGCGCCAATTACAATAAATTCAATTTGATCCCAGTAAATGGAATCAAGATTTTCAATTTATCATTATATGCTGATTTTTCTTTGTAGTTATAGTTGTTACTGTTGCTATCGATGTTGTTGCTGTCTTATGCATGTGCTCCTCTTGTTGTTAGTGCTGCTATTTCCGATGGTGATGCTGATGCTGATGCTGCTGCTGGCGTCGTCTGCCTCCAGGAGCCGAATGTTGATTTAAAATTGTTTTGTTGCTTGGTTTTTCTTAGTTTCGGTTTTTGTTGTTCTTGTTTCATTTGTAGGAGGAAAAATTCATTTAAAAAATTGTGTTTCTTGTTGTCTTGATTAAAACTAATAATCTAACTGTAAAGATCATCATCGCCATTGTCGCCCGGCGAGTTAACTGGCATATTGGTGCCAGACCCTGAGGTGTTGCCGGCGTTACCGGGGAATCTGCAAATAACCAAAAGGACGCGATATTATATAGCCAATAATAATAAAGTAATTAGTGGCATGTTACCTGAAGTTCTGGCCAAAGCCGCGCGACTGTTGTAGAGTCTGAGCAAACATCTCGTATTTGCGTATGTCATTGTCCGAAACGGAGCGACGGGCAAACTTCATTGCCTCCTCAAAGTGAGCGCGTGTTATTTCCGGCACTGGATCATCCTCGTCCATCTGCAAAATTGCAATTATAAATACAAATAAATGCAATGACTTCTTTGACTACAACTTACATCCATTGCGGAGTTCTGGTTTTCGGCGCGATCCTTTTCACGGCGTATCTCAGCCTCAATAGCCTGGCGAATGGCCAGCTTGCAAGCACGCTGGCAGATCTCGGTCAAATCGGCACCCGAGAAGCCCTGTGTCACCTTGGCAATGTACGTCAAGTCCACTTCCTTGGCCAACGGCGATTTGCGCAAATTGGCCTTCAATATAGCCTCGCGAGACTTGTCATCGGGCAATGGAATATAGATCAATTGATCCAAGCGACCCGGACGCAAGATAGCCGGATCGATAATGTCTGGCCGATTGGTGGCACCAATAATGAACACATTCTTCTTGGCTCCCATGCCGTCCATTTCGGTTAGAATCTGATTGATCACACGATCGGCAGCACCGCCAGCATCGCCGACATTACCACCACGTGCCTTGGCAATCGAGTCCAACTCATCGAAGAAGAGCACACATGGTGCAGCAGACCGAGCCTTGTCGAAAATGTCGCGCACATTGGCCTCAGATTCACCGAACCACATGGTCAACAATTCGGGTCCCTTGACCGAAATAAAGTTCGCCTGGCACTCGTTAGCAATGGCCTTGGCCAGAAGAGTCTTACCACAGCCAGGTGGTCCGTAGAAGAGAACGCCACGGCTAGGCTGCATGCCAAACTTAAGGAACTTGTCGGGATGCTCGACTGGATACTGAACGAGCTCCTGGAGCTCCTTCTTCACATTCTCCAAACCGCCAATATCCGTCCAGGTGGTGTTGGGCACCTCCACAACTGTTTCACGCAACGCCGATGGGCTGGACTTGGTCATCGCATAGCGGAAGTTCTCCATGGTCACGGCCAGGGAAGCCAGCACTTCGGCATCAATCTTATCATCCTCCAGATCAATCAGATCCATCTTTTCACGGATTTGTTGTAGAGCTGCCTCAGAGCATAGCGAAGCCAAATCGGCACCCACATGACCATGAGTCTCGGCGGCAATCTGCTCGAGGTCCACATCCTCGTGCAACTTCATGTTCTTGGTATGTATCCGCAACACCTCCAGACGACCAGTGGCATCGGGAATGCCAATATCGATCTCACGATCGAAACGACCAAAGCGACGCAGCGCTGGATCAATGGAATTGGGGCGATTGGTAGCCGCCATGACAATCAAATGGGAGCTCTTCTTCATGCCGTCCATCAGTGTCAACAGCTGCGACACAATACGACGCTCCACCTCGCCATGGGTCTTGTCACGCTTAGGCGCAATTGCATCGATTTCATCAATGAATATGATAGCTGGCGAATTCTTTTCGGCCTCCTCGAATGCCTTTCGTAGATTCGACTCGGATTCACCTGCCAGCTTTGACATGATCTCCGGTCCGTTGATCAAAAAGAAGAACGCGCCAGTCTCATTGGCAACAGCGCGTGCAATCAGCGTCTTACCAGTACCGGGTGGACCGTACATGAGAATACCACGCGGCGGCTTTACACCAATTGCCTTGAACAGCGACGGATGCCGCAAAGGCAGCTCAACCATCTCCTTGATTTGAGCAAGTTGCTTGCGACAACCACCGATGTCATCATAACCCACAGCATTCAAAGACTCTTCCTCCTCCTAAGGCAAAATTATAGGCGTTAAGATATGAAATATACATTTATAATCTTAAGCGCAGCACAGCGGGCACAACGAATTCAAATGCCGAAATCAATAAAAATAAAGAAATTTTGAAAGATCTAGCTGATCTAGCCGCCCGCTGTGCTGTTATCTAACGAAGCGCTCACCTCACGCTTTATCGGTTCGCCATCGCAGAAGATGACCGTTTCGGGTGCCACAATACAATAGGGTTCCGGATCGGTAAGCACCACTTTGAACTCGATAGGCCGCATGGCGGCGCGCACAATGAAATTATCACCCATATGAATGGGACGATAGGCCTCCAAGAAGTAGGGCTTCAAATAGATCTCAAAAAGATTGCCAGTAACACCCTCAGTTGTATCATCAATGGGCAAAATGCGAACGCGTTTGCCATACTTGACGTCCGGACAGGATTGCACGGAAACCACATCCGACAGATGTACGCACAGATTGTTGCGAACAACACGATTCATCCGTATCTTCTCATCCGGGCAGGTATCATCCGATAGGACAATGCAGACAGTCTCCTTACGGCGTTTGCCTTTCAGAATGACAGTGTCACCACGGAAGAGCTGCAGCTCATCCATTTTCGCCTAAATACAAGCGGATATGTTTATGCTGACGTGGCCCTACAAGATTGACTCCAATGCTTACCTGCGATAGCGACACTACGGAATTATCATCATTTTGCGCCTCCTCAACGATTAGACGATTGGGACGATCCTTGCGCTTCAAAATCGCGGTGGCCAGGTCCTCACTGCATGGGACACAAACAAAATTAAATCAAGCAATCAAACAAACGCAAAAAAAAAGAAAGAAAACACGCAACAGACACCCCCTCCCTAGTTGCGCACCGTTTTTCGCTGGAGAACTGTGGCTTCGACAAATCGCAAGTCTCTTTTTTTGTAAGTTCATCGTCCTGTTCGCTACGATAGTTGCGCACAATGTCGCTTATATCGACATCCATGTTCTGGCTGTTGTCTACATTATAATTGTTCATGTTATTTCTGTTGCTGTTGTTGTCGCCGGTGTCTATGGGCGGACGTCTCGAGCTGCCCCCGGCATTATTGTCATCGTTGCCGCTGGACATTTTTCTTCTTCTTTTCTTGTTATAATCCGCGCTTACTCTTTTCGACTTCAAATTAGATTTTCAAGAAAAAAAACCAAGACAACAACAACAAGCAATATACAGTAAAAGGCTTGCAACGTTGTCGTTAACAACAAACTAAGGCTGTGAATGACAAGGCACACTTGGATACCGTTTGAAAAACAACGAATTTCCCCAAATAGCCCTCGACAAAGAAATCGGAAAAGGGCTACAACGACGGCAAATGGCGAATTTCTGCGCCTTGGCCTAATTTCACAATCATGGAGTTTTAGAGTAAATTTAACTTTATAACTTAAAACTATTCGAAATATAACCTCAACATAAGTGAATTATCGTATCATAGTCAAATTTCACAATTTAGTTTCCATTTCATTTTCCTATGTGGCCATTGGTTTTTTTTTTTCATAGGGCCAATGACTGCGCGAAATTGAAGCTAAGAGGCGGCATCCGTTTGCCGCTGTTTTTTGTTACATGTACACTTACCCCTTGGAATCAGCCATAGTTTATGATTTGTAATGAAACTTTTGAACTTAAATATACAAATTGGCGCGTTTATCTGTTATTATATGCCTTTTAAAATCGAGCACAACTTTTGTACAAAAATCACAAATGATTTAGCTAAATGTTCGCACGGGCTGCCAACTTGACTGATGCCAACGAGTTGGCAGCTTGGTAGATGAAAAGTGCTGAGTTGTGTGATAATTAGGGTTGGTACTTTGTAAAAGAATCAAATATCGATATTTCAATGAATGCAACCCAGCTATGCCAACAAAGTTGCCACTCTGCTGTAAGCTAATTTAACGGCTTTTTCCTGTAGTCTCAAATGGGAAACAAGATGTTCATTTAAGGAAATTTGTTTTATTCCATTGTTCTGTATAAAGACATATATAAATACATATACATTTATAATTCTTATATTAATATTGAATACAAAATATGCTCTTGCCATTTGAGATTTTGTGCAAAATTACACTGTTATACAAAATTGTTTAGAAATAAACGATTAAATGCGTTTTTGTTTCAAATAGTTTTGCATAATATTTTCAATTGGTTTTGAAATATTGTTTAAATTGTATTTCGTTTTTGGTGTGGTATTTGTGGAGTATTGTTCGATATCGGACATTTAGCCAGCATGCACAGACTGAAACGAAGAATAAAAAGAGATAAATCAAATTAAAGCCAAATCATATATGTAGAAATCGAATCAGAAACAAAAAAGCAAAGATATATATGCTATATATATGTACATATATGCAGAAGAAACATATGTAATCATAGAACTTCATATCATGTTGCTACATTTCTCTACCAAGTCTTTTGATTGCCATTTGTTTTACGTTTTGTGTTTTCTTTGCTGTATTCTCTGATCCTACTCTCGGCCTTTAGATAAACTCTGAATTGGAACGTACCCTGGCAATATCCACGCCAGTTATGTTCTTCACCAGCTCCGGCACTTTGTTGACAATCTGCAACACCTCGCCCGTCAGCTTGGCGGCTCCAATATCGCCCTGGCCGCTGGAAACCATAGTAATCTTTCTGGCCTGCGACAAAGGCGCAGCTACCTCGGCGGCCACCTGCAAGCAGGACGGAAAAGAAATTAAAAAAGCGCTTTAAAAATGTCTTGAATTTGCATCGTACCTTTGGCAGCGTATCCAGCAACATTTCCACCATGGCGGCCTCGCGGTATTCACGCCAAGCATCCGCCTTCTGTGCCATTTGCTCTGCCTCTGCCTTAGCCTTAGCTGCAATAGCAAATGCTTCAGCTTCGCCGCGTATTTTAATCTATAATGGCAAAAGGTAAAGTTTTTTAATTCTTTATTAGGCTATTTAGAGAGAAAGTAAACTTACCGATTCAGCCTCAGCTTCGGCCTCCATTACGACACGGAGTTTGTTGGCCTCAGCAAGTTTTTCCAAACGATATTTTTCTGCTTCTGCTGGACAGCGAACAGTGGCATCCAGCTCTTTCTCACGTCGCATAATCTCCTGCTCCTGCACAGCAATCTCCTGGGTGCGCTCAATTACCTTTACTTGCATTTGCTCCTCCTTGATGCGCTGCTTGGTCTTAGCCGCCTGCAGCTCATACGCCATATCAGCTTCGGCCTTCTTTGTCTGCACTTCTAAATCGTAGGCTGCACGCTTCAGTTCAAAGTCGCGCTGTGCTTTGGCAATGTCGGTGTCATTAAGGAAACGCGCAGCCATACGCTGCTCCTCAGCAATAGCCTCTTTAATGTGCGCCTCAGCACGAGCTTCTGCTTCGCCAATGCGGGCGTCGCGCTTTACCTCGGCTGTCCGAGCCATGCCCAAAGATTTCAGATAGCCCTGCAATGAAAAGAAAATGATGCGTATTAAAAATAGTTGCCAATGCGCAGTTAAAGGGACTCCACAAGAGAGAACAACTCTATACGCACCTTGGAGTCGCCCTGGTTAGTTAAACCATGAGTCGTTATGTACACGCATGCAAAAATAATGAATATGTATATTTCGGTTACTCAAAAATTGAAACGAAAGACGCGTCCTACACTTATATATTATATCTCAATTTCATGCCCAAAGAGTGAAATCTAATGCAACCATCACCGAAATCTTTGGCGAAACTCACCTCTTCGTCCCGCAAATCCTTGATGGTATAGGAGACCACTGTGATGCCCATGTTGGCCAAATCACTGGAAGCTACCTCAAACACCTGCTTGCTGAACTTCTTGCGATCCTTATAGATCTCCTCGACGGTCATAGAGCCCATGATCGCTCGTTGATGTCCCTCCAGTGTTACCAGAGCAATATGATTGATTTCTGCTTCAGATTTGCCTAGAAACTGCTCGCAGGCAGTCAATAGCATATCCTCGTTTTGGCCTTGCACCTTCACCTGGGCAATGCCTGTCACAGAGATGGGCACACCTTGGCTGGTGTACACGCATGGGCTTTCCACCTGCAGAGTCATCGTGTTCAACGAAATGCTACAAAAGAAATTAAATACCGTTATGTTGTGTCATTATGCCTGAAGGTCAATTTAATTACCGTTGTACTTGTTGAATCGATGGCCACACAAAAGCCCGACCGCCAGGCACCAACAAAGGCTTCATATAGCAGCATCCTAGGAAAAAAAAAAAAATTAAAAATCGAAATAATTATACTTTTATGTTTACAATCTGTCCAAAACAAAACAAATACACCGACAACCCTATATACAAGCAAAACACAAGCGCGCACACACACACACACACACATAAAACACATACGTATGTGTGTATTTAACGGCGTTCGTTTAGGTGCGCACGCACGGCTTCGGTCTGTCACAATTTGCTTGTACATAAAAATCGATAGTCAGTGACGTCATTGGTGGGTGATGCCCCGTGCCCATTTTATTTACAAATTTAAACAATTTGCTATCTTTTGTTTAGTAAAATATTTACCTGACACAACTAACGCCTCATTCGGACCACAAGTAACAAAGCCCCAGGTCATATTTAAGAACTAAAATTATTTTAATATTCGATATCGTGTAAGAATTCCTGCTGGTTTTGATCGTCGGTAATTTCCTATGGGCACTTATAATATACCCCTGATAATTAAATATTTAGAGTAACGCAATCACAATAAAGCACTTTAAAACATATATGTATAAATAGCAACGGGGTTTTCACTTTTCACTAGATATACAAGCGCGAAACGCGACCGGTCCGTCAAGAACACAAAAAGCAACTAAACAAAAAAAATAAATGGAGCGCGAGTGCGCAGTGCCCATTAGAATTAACCCTTAAGCAAGGCAATGTGGTTATTTGTAGACATTTGGTTTGTTTATAATTTCAGTATGTATATTTATGAAGATTTACTCTATAAATATTAAGTGAACTAGGTACAGTTGCAATTTTTTTGGTTCTTACATTTACTTAATGTATATTTAAAATATTACAACTGATGGCATTTGGTAAAAACTATGTTAATAGAATTGTAATGAATTGAGGATAAAAACAATGTGTATAACTAAAGATACGTTCCTAAAATATACATACAATTTATATATTATATTATATTATATATTATTGAAACAGTCGTAAGAACTATAAGTGAACTTTGATTGCCACATTAATGACCCGACGAGGAGGTGTCTGTGAAAAACGGGTGCTGCATTGCGGCTTCCGCACTAATTCTCTGATTCGGACGGCAAACTAGGAGTTTTTGAAGTAAATCACGGCCCTTAGCATTCAGTCTTGGTACAAGTTGGCTCCACGATGTAATTGGCGGAAAAGCTACAAAACCAAATCCTAATAGTATATAAATTACGAATGCTTTACTCAACTTACATGGAAGCGCAACATAGTCGGAAAGATGCGAGACACCGGGCCAAGATTCCTCAGTTGGTGTGCCAAGCACCCGGAATATTTTCAGCAATTGATCAAGGACATCGGAGCCAGGAAATAGTGGACGCCCTGCATCAGCTAATTCAGCTAATATACAACCCGCTGACCACATATCGATGCTCGTCGTATAGAGTTTGGCACCGAAAAGCACATCAGGTGGACGATACCACAGCGTTACCACCTCGGCTGAATAGCATTTGACAGGTATGCCGAAGGCGCGTGCCAATCCAAAATCAGCCAGCTTCAATTCTCCGTTCTTGTTGATGAGCAAATTTTGTGGTTTCAAATCTCGATGCAGCACATTGTGACTAAAATAGTGAAATTGAGTAAAACGGCAATTATAACTGGTGATATATATGTACATATGCATGGCACCCACCTGTGACAGAAGGCTAAGCCGCGCAACAGTTGCAGCATAAAGCTTCGGCAAACTGCCATATCGATTTCTCCATTCAAACTGTCAAAGTACTTTTTCAGGTCCTGATCACAGTGCTCAAATACCAATGTCAACTTTTTATCGGAGTGCAACACATCACAGAGTCGTACAATATTTTTGTGTTTTAGTTCCTAAGTGAAATTGTGACGTGACGTGAATATATATCAAAAACATAGAGCTGATCGCTCTCTACCAATAGTTTAAAACAAACCTTCAGTAAGCATATTTCTCTCAGCGCGGAACTAGGCACTCCCTCGTCGTCTTCATCTAAGCGGACTCTTTTTAGTGCCACAATTTCCATAGTATCCCGATTGCGGCCCTTGAACACCGTGCCGTAAGTGCCCTCGCCAATCTTTTCCATTTTATCATATTTCTGCATGTTTATAAAATATTTGTGTCGCGATTACCTGAAAAAGCGTGCGCGTTGCCAGACCGTCATTTAGTCAGCTGTTTGATTTTATCGTCTCGATTAGGTCGATTGCATGAAGTTCGCGTGAAGTTGGCTGCGAACGCAAAAACGAGCTGTCTGTCAGTGGATAGTGCTGTCACTTAACGGCTGCTGAAGGAGATCTGGAAGAAAATTGCAATTTCTCAAAGTAAAAAATAAATTTAATCATTTTTTTCCTTAACTTTTTCAATTTCTCTCTTCCTTTTTAGTAAAAAAACAACAAAATGGAATATCTAACCGATGATGTATTAATTCGCATACTGAGCTATTTAGATCTTAAATCGCAGCAAATCATGTTAGATTTGCATCCACGCTTCTTCAATTTGATGCCGATTGTCTGGATCTCACAGTATAAAACAGTCAAGATTTCTTTATACGAGGCAAAGTTTTCCATCGCCCACTTGCGATACTTTTTTCGAAGCATTTCCAAAACTGTACAAGTGATGCATCTGAAAATGATGTGTGCGGAGCAATATATGGTGCTCCTTGAGTTCATTTTTCCAAAAGTTTACGATTTTCGGTTTGCAACTGTGCCAAGTAGATTGCTCTCCGATTCGGATATACCAAGATTAATCATGACGTTTCCAAACTTGAAAGAATTTAGTCCTCAAGGAAGTTTTTCGGGCAGATTTTTTACCGACTTTCCATTATTGGAGCGACTAACATTGACTTATTGCCAGCATTTTAGTGTTGAAAATCTGGCAAACGTTATGAAAGTACGCAAATTAAAAGAAATCAAGCTTTGCCTTTTTGATCGCAAGACTATCGAAAAAACTCCTATATGTCTGGCCGCAGACTCAATGGCTAATCTTGAGTCCATTAAAGTGGAAATTGATGAGCTGCCCTGGTTTGAAGACCACTTGGGAACACTTAATCGCCTTTCTGAGCTGACCATTTGTGGTCCTGGACTTATGGGCATACTTCCTTTACTATGCCGCAAGCTGGGCTCTATAACTGAAAAGCATCATTTCAAAATTTTGGAAACATGCAACACCACTGACACATTGTGCACTGTAATTGAATCAAAGCTACGTGTGGATGCTCTAAAAATCGTTACAGATAATTATCTATTGGAAGACCTGGGCTTTTTTTCGCCCAACAGCTTTGAATACCTAAAGCAATTGTTTTTTAAAAGTTGTTGTATCCAAGAAAAACAATATTTTAACAATCTTATGCACAACATTGCAAACATCGAGCTTGTTAGCTTTGAGCAATGTGTTTTTACATTTAATAGATACAAATTTATGACAGCTAAAATCGTTGAGAAACGTAAAAAGCTTTTGCAGGTCAACTTATTCCAAAATACATGTGTTTGCACTGTAAGTATTTGTTACTGTAAGAATAGCTAGTATACTAAATGTTTATTATTTATTTATTTATAGAGAAAACCTTGGAGATATGTCAAAATCGGTGAGCATCCCTTACTGGAATTTGTTGAGGGTAAAAACTATGATTACACATTTGAACCCATTTACATGACATTCATGATAGAATGAATACATTGTTAAAAATGTCAATATCAAGTACAAATCTAACATTTATAATTTTTGTCTGAATAAAATATCAAATCACGCTTTCCTCGTAAATTAGCATTAAAATTTAATTAGAATTAGGTGGATTTTCTTCTTCGAGCACAATAATTTTTAAATGTAACGGCAAATAACTTTGCGTGCATACATGTAAAAATATTATACGATAACAGCCCGTTAACAGGTTTGTTATTCATGGTTTTTGATTTGGTTAACTAGTTCCTGGTTCACGCAAATGGTCACTGCGAACCAAACGCATTCGCTGTAAATTAATTCGGTAGAAAAATAAGTAAAATAAATAGAAATTTATTATTTTGTGCATTTAATTTAGTTTGCACGTTAACAACTTAAGAACACAGATACTTGGGTAAGTTCCATGTTGGTGCACAAAGTAAATGAAAGGTGAAATTTTATGCGCATTTGGACACCTTTGTCAACGCTTATTTGCGCAAAATAATAAGTTCAAGTGTTTATTGTTGTTGGTGGGCCAGCACACACAAATACATAGAGAAGTTGGCTCCCTTGGCGTTGACAGAACAAGAACCAGTGGAAAACGCAAAGCACAACAACAACAGTAGCAGCACCAAGTAACAGAAAAGTAATAAAAACAACAACAACGTTTGCGCCAGTGATCACAGCGAAATGGCTAATACAAATATGATTACAAGCAATCATAACAGTAGCAGCAACAGCAACACCACCGCCTACACTTACAACAATTACAACAGTGTTAGTGCTGACAGCGGTAACAGCAGTGGCAGCAACGGTGGCGGCGGCAGCGAGGTGCAAACGCTTCGAGAAGTTTGTAGCATGCTCAACACAGGCGCTCCGAGCAGCTATATGATACCAACAGGTGGTTGTGTGTATGATCACATTATAACGATGATGCGCGGCCTTAACCTGCAGGACGACGGCATTGTCCTTAACAACAAAATCAAGGCTATCGAAACCGATTTCTGCAACATTGTGCGAGACGAGTCGATGCTATGGTATGTACATTTGTAGTTTTTGTTATTGTGAGTGTGTGTGTATGTCTGTATTTGCATCGTTGTCCATTGATGATTAATACATAAGTATATATGTATGTATTTATGAATAAGTATGCATAGCTTGTGCAGACGTACATTTATTTCCGTGTATGTATGATATAGACACATTCGTATACATATGTATGTATGTGTAGGTGTCTACGTCAGAGCCAGTATTAATATTTACAACTATCTGTAAAACGATGTCGCAATTCGCTTAAAATTTTTAGAACTAAGAGATTTGTGAGTAACAGAAAGAGAGCGAGAGAGTGGAAATAAAAAAAGCAAATTTCCCGCCAATTGGATAAACAAGAAGTATGTTCTCGAAGACTAAATACCCTTGAATTATTTCAAAGAAATTATTGATGCAGCGTAAACAAGAGTTTAATCGGCTTATCAAGCATGTTTATATTTTCCTATTTTACATAAGTAATTAGTTTGATTAAGTGCAATTTTCAGTTAGTAACAGTATTTTGAACTTTAATATTGAAGCCACTATAACTTTTGTTTTTGCACAATGTCAACACACAATTGTTATCCATATAAAGCCCCTTTTTATCATAATCAGGGCTACAGCATACAGATATAACCGGTTCCCAACTGAACAACCAAGTTCAACAAGTTCACAGCGAAAACAATAACATCTCTTTAAATGTTGTCATTGCAGTGAATCCATGGAGTACATGAATAACAAAGCCCTATTGGATGCTGAGACAGCCCTGAAGTTTGCCTTATTGTTCTCCTCGCGCAATTTCGACGCCCTGGCTATGAACGAGACAAAAGTGCGCAGCGCCATGCTAAAGATCCTGGAGACGAACTACATCAATGCCGATGCATATCGCCAGCACGATAAGAATCGATTGTACAACTCTATAACGCTGCTGGGCGAGTACTATAATCGAGTTCGTCTTGCGAACAATGCTCCAATCACAATTCTGGGCGATTCACTCCTCACTTTATTAACGCGCGAAATCAACGATGTTTCAGTGGTGATGAGCACTCGCCTAGCCCGGTTAGTGCTCTCCCAGATCACACTCAATGGTGAAATAATGCGCACGCGCCACAAGACAGAAATCGATCAGCTATTGTACCATGTTAGGCGACATCTGATCATGCAGCCAGCGCTGACAGACAAAGTAAAGGCGATGCTGCTAATGGTGCTTGACTTGTTCTATAGCCATTTCAAGAATGTCGGCCAAGAGCTGGAAGCCATGTACACAAACTATTTGGCCATCGATGAGGACGAGGATGATGGCTTCAATAATAACAACAACAACAACAGCAACAACAAGAACAACAGCAGCAACAACAACAGCAATGGAGCCGATATACAGCCACAGACAGACTCTTTCAGCGGACAAAGTGCGGCCACCTGTTACAGCGACGAGGAGAACGGCAGCAGTGCTAACACCTCGGCCCAGGAGGTGCCCAAGAAATGGAGCGAGCAGGTCTGTGAAGATTCACTATGTGACATTGTTTATGGCGAGACACCGGCCAATGGCGATGAGCAGCATAAGTTATACGATAGCGCTGGCAATACCTATGAAGGTTGTGAACTGCCCAGTTCCAGCCGCCAAGCCCGTCGTGGCTATCAGCCCCGACATGTGCCACGTCCCTTAAAGCAGGCCCAAGCTCAGACGGCAAATGCAGAGTAAGTAATCCATAAAGAATCCTGGGGCTCTAATTTACAAAGTTTGGACTTTCTTGCAGCAATGTCAACTCCGATCAGTATGCATCTATGGCCAGCAGCGAGGATCGCGATGAGTCAAAGCCGCTACCAAGCTGGCGTAAGACACGTTTCAATCGTGGCAATGACGGCGATCAGTCGAATGGCCGTTCCCGTCACGATCAACAGCGTCGCTATAGCGTTAGCTGCGATGACGATCATCAGAGTGTGCGGAGCGAGGGTGGCGGTGGTAATTTGCGTTTGTACAGCATAGATGATCGTAGAAAGCATTCGGAGGAACGCTACGAGCGCAATCTGGGCGGCGGAAGCAATTACAATAATATTGTGAACTCCAATTGGGATCAGCGCGATGACCGAAGCGAACGTTCCTACATAAGTAATTATGAGCGTGGAAATAGCTACAAACGCGGCGGACGCTATAACAATCACAATCGCAACACGTACGACAAACCGCCTCGTTTCCAGAAGCAGCAGCAGCAGCAACAGCAAAGTCAACAGCAGCAGCAGCAACAACAACAACAGCATAAGATCCACAGTGAAACTTGGCGTCGCTCAAATACAGCCATTAATAATGCATATCAGGATGAGAATTGTGCTTACAATTCGAATGGACCAGAGTCGAACAGTCGCAGCTCTTCGCGTGCACGGACGCTGCCACGTCCGCCCAAATCTCAAATGGACGATGGTGGAAGGAAGTCAAACTCGAGCTATCGTTACAACCAGAGCCCAGCGCGTGGCGCTGGAGGCGCACCGCGCAATTTTCCGCGATACAGCAGTCAGAGCAGCTTAGCCAGCGAAGCATCGAGCACTTTTGATCGTCGCCAGCAATCGTCACGTCCACAGCATCCACATCAAAATCAGCATCAGCATCAACCGCAACGTCATCGCAATTTTACGCGTCGTTCACAGCCTAACATACACCAGCCGCAGGAACCAAATCCGCAACAACAACACCAACAGCAGCAGCAGCAGCAGAAACCACAATCGAATGTTGACAACTGGCATGGGGATGCTGACAAAGACGAGAGTGAGCTGGTGCGCAACGCTCAGCAGACAACACGATATATGAACTATCTATCCTCACAGAAATGAGAACGACGAGCACGCTGCAAAAGAGCTCAACAGCCACAGCAGCGTGGTCGTCATCGTCGCATCACCAGAAACTACAAATGCATGGAGTGATTACAAAAACAAACAACAAAATAAGCACGAGTATGATTGTAAAATAATTGTTTTAAAATTGAAAGTCTGCAACGAGATTTAGTTTCTAACGTGTTAAAAAGCTGCCCAATTCTCTCTCTTCTCTTCCTGCACTCAAGTAATCAATTATTATTATTTTTTTTGCTTTTCATTTAAATATTATAATGTATTAGAGTATTTGAATTTTTTGTACGAGTATATATCGGATATTAAGTCCACCTATTCAATTGTATAGTTTATAATTGTGCCGTTCATTTAATATGTTGTTTACAATATAGTAGAGACTGTTTCTAATCTACAAATTGAGCTCAAATATTTTGAACCTAACTCGTGGCCATTTTGCATCTAATCTCCAATTTCCCCGCCTCACATAACAAACAAATACAACAAATATGAAATTAAATCAAACGTAAACACAAATCAAGATAGGCTCAAGTACCAATTGTAAATCGAGAGAATATTTATATATACATTTATATAAAATAAATCGGAATCAAATTATGCTTATCCATAAACAAAATGTAAATATCTTTTGTAATCGACGACGGATCGATCAGCATATAAATCCCAACATGCATACACACACAAACACACACACATAAATATATATATAGATACACATACATACATAAACAGAAAAATATGTTTTATAAAAATTTTGTTAGAAACTAAGTACAAAAGTCATAAAAATGAAACAAAAATCCTATTTCTAATATAATTGTATGAATAAAATGAGAAAATTATGTTGTTTAAATGTTACATGCACGTTACCCACGTTATATTTTAGCTGAATATACATATATACATACATACATATATAACAAAATGTCATGTTGCGATACAAAGAATGCAAATTTATTAAAGAAAATATTACATAAGTATAACACATGCAGACTTTAAAGAAAGTAATTATTATAAATAATTCTGGAAAACGAATTGCATTATTATTTTGACGAGTTGGATGAAGCAACAAAGCTGCTAAGCATGGTAAATAACTGTGACCACAAATTCGTCAGATATACGTATTTTAAGTTTAACAAAGGTTTAAACAATAGTTAATGTACACATATACATATATATTTATGTGTACTAATACACAAATACATAGTCTAAAAATAACAATTTTAATAAATATATTTCCAAGACTTTTATTTTAAACTGTTAAATATTAATTCATTAAAGCGAATCATAGAAAGTAACACTGAATAACAATAAACCAATTCGACAGTATTTAGTTGAAGTTGGACCAATTGGAATCAACGCTCGGCCTGCTCCTTAGGGGTGACAACCAGTACCTCGTAGTTTCTATTGGAAACCTCGTCCCGTTGATAGGGCATGTAAATAACTCGATGAGATGGATGCACTTTGCCGAGCAAGGTTTGTCCCATATATTCAGAGCGAGCAGTATAAAGCGGCTCACCTAGTTCCGAGTAACCCGTTTTAAGGCCGCCTGGTGGCACTTCACCATTTGCTGCAGCCACCCATTTAAGTTCACAGTCCGTTAGCACCAATAACTCCACCTCTGTGCTCAACAGATGTGCACTGCAATTCCAGGGAGCGTAGACGGCTTTCTTTTGCGGCACGTAATTAGCGGGGAGTAAATCCTCATGCAAATATACGCGCGCCACATATGTTTCGAGGCCCTCATGATCAGTGCCGCATTGGACAGCACCATCGAGTATGGTATGCGGCAGTGGTTCATCCAAATCAAGGGGCACCCATTGGATCTGAGAGCGTTCTACTTCCTCTACTTCGGTGTTTTCGGCAAAATTCAAATAAATGCGATGCACACGCTGACGGTAGCAAACGGCCCTGCATTGGGGACAGCTTAAAGAGCGGGATAGCCAACGGTTAAGGCAATTCTTGTGGAATACATGACCGCAATTGGCTGTTGAATATATGATATCATTCGCTTTGTAAAACTCATTACAAATTCCACACAGAACGTTTAATGTTTCAGTTGGCTGTGTTGCTTCCGCTTCTGATTCTGTTTCCATTTTATTGCGATTGTTCGTTGTATTTGATTGTGTCAAGCTAATATCTCAAAGCTTCAACTCTTAATTTATCAGATTCAATATTAGATCATCTTTTATATATTTCTTGAAAATGCGTATTTCATCAGAGCAAAACGAAGAGTAATAACAATCGGTGTTTTGTTTTTATTTGTTAATTGTAAAATACTCGATTAATCGCCAAATCTATTATCTATCGGCTATCGGAGACGATAATTTGGTACCCCTGGTCAGCTGCACGTTGCTTTTATTATTGGTTTTGATTGTAGTATAAATATGCAGCGAAAAGAGCCAAATCCTTTTCTGAAACTCGGCTTGCGGCCATGGCTGGCCAAACAGTTGACTAAATTAGGTAAGCAACATGATTATATAAATCTATAAGGAAAGCTTAGCATCGTATTTTTATTCAACAGGTCTTAAGGGAGTAACGCCTATTCAGGAGAATTGTATACCACCAATTTTAGCTGGTAAGGATTGTATCGGTGCAGCTAAAACAGGCTCAGGCAAGACCTTTGCGTTTGCTCTGCCGATTTTGGAGAAGCTGAGCGAAGAGCCAGTTAGTCATTTCGCCCTAGTGCTAACGCCTACACATGAACTGGCATATCAAATCTCTGAACAGTTTCTCGTCGCTGGTCAGCCCATGGGAGTGCGCGTGTGTGTTGTTTCCGGCGGTACAGATCAGATGATAGAGAGCCAAAAGCTAATGCAGAGACCACACATTGTTGTGGCAATGCCCGGGCGACTGGCGGATCATCTAACAGGCTGTGACACGTTCTCGTTCGATAATCTCAAATTTCTGGTCGTGGATGAAGCAGATCGCATGCTGAATGGTGACTTCGACGAGAGTCTAGCCATAATCGAACGCTGCTTGCCTAAGACCCGACAGAATCTATTTTTCTCTGCTACCATGAAGGACTTTATGAAGGAGTCAAGCATATTTCCTATATCCAAAGATGTAAGCAAGCAAATCTACAATTTCTCATCGATTATTATATTTTATAATTCTATAATGCAGTTAATGGAATGGTCACAGGAGTCGGACGTGGCTACGGTGGACACACTTGAACAGCGGTATTTGCTGTGCGCTGACTACGATCGTGATATGGTGCTCATTGAAGCGCTGCGAAAGTTTCGAGAAGAAAATGAAAATGCTAATGTCATGATCTTCACTAATACAAAGAAGTGGGTTTAGTATATATTCAATATATTACAGATATTAAGTTTTTGTGTACTCAACTAGATATTGCCAATTGCTCTCGATGACGCTCGCCAGCATGGAAATTGAGAATGTCTGCTTACATGGATTTATGCGACAAAAGGAACGAGTTGCTGCATTAAGTCGCTTTAAGTCCAATCACATACGCACGCTGATTGCTACAGATGTAGCTGCACGTGGATTGGATATACCCAGTGTGCAGCTAGTGATCAATCATATGTTGCCACGTACGCCCAAGGAGTATATCCATCGAGTGGGAAGGACGGCGCGGGCTGGTCGCAAAGGCTTGGCTATATCCATATTTCGATTCCCCCGCGACCTTGAATTGCTTGGCGCCATTGAAGCCGAAATTAATTGCAAGTTAACAGAGCATCCCATAGATCGTACGTTGATTGATTATTTTGTACTACCTACTGTATTAACTGAATTATTTCCCTTAGAACGCATGGTGGAACGTATATTCATGCAGGTGAATGTCACGAGACGTGAATCGGAAATGCAACTAGATAATAATGACTTCGATGAGCGTGCCAAAAACTACAGACGAAAAACGTGGATTATGGAGGGCAAGGATCCTGATGAAATGGAGGCACTGTGAGTAATCTATTCATTGGCTAGAAAATCTATCTAATTCACTTTCAATTCCTTCGCAGTTATCGCAAGAAACAAAAGGAAAAGCTGCGGGAAATACGCCGCAAACGTAAGCAGCAACGGATGGAAATGAACGCCAGCGAGGAGGGCAAGGCTGTGCTAAACGATGAACGGTTCAATACTCTAGACAAAGCACGATTCGAGAAGAAATTTAAGAAACGCTCAGAAAATAATACGACAGAACCGAAGACATCACAAAAACTACGTAAAGCAAACACAAGCAAAGCAAAAACGAAATCAAAATCAAATATAAAGTGATTTCAATAATTATATCTATTTTAGATATATACTAACATATATGTATATATCTGTGTAATTTAATAACAAATAACTTTTGAGCTTACAACTAATAAGCAGTTCCGCATACAAATATGTACGTACTTTAAATTCAGACGTATTAAAAAAATGCAGCTGTAGCAGCCTTTAATTTATATGTGAAGCAGGCACTTGGGTTTAGTGTTTAAGGTTTTTTTTCAGTCTAGGGCGATGGTTAACAGCGCATCCTCTGGATGAATCTCGAGCAACACCTTGGCGCCATCGTTAAATGGATACGAGATACTGCCATCAATGACCAGACCTGAATAGGGAAAGAAAGACGAATTCAATGGTTTTTTCAATCAGTTTGCATTTAGGTCTTTGTTACTCACTGGCATCCATGCAGTGCGATTTTATAAACACGGTCTGCACAAAGTCCCGTGCCTTAAATGTCTTTGGTGAAGGCCAAACGCCTACACAGATCTGCTCGCGTATGGAGTAGCATAGACGCGGATCATCAGGTGGGAAAAGCAGTCCCTGATTGTAGCACTGAGCGATTTCCTCAACATTTGCACGCAATTGAAGAATTTGCGGTGCACAGCTATTGGGCAGTGATTTGAGCAGATCGTCCACATCGCTGCTGGTAATCCGATTGATGCTCGTATGCCACGAAGTGGAGCCAGTGCCTGTGCTGACGCATAGCCCCGAGCATTTGGTTTTATTAACCACATCCTGATGATTGAGCACCAGCTGCAAATGCGACACGCGTGCCGAAAGTTGTTCTCCAATGAAAACCTGCACGACAGAGCTTGAGAGGATTAGCTAAATTGAATTCCTTTTTTAATCTAAATTCCATTACCTCGTTTAATGCCAAGTATGGTAGAATTCGCTTCATTTTAGCTTTATACTTGTCAGCCATTTTCCAATCCAATTCCTCTGGCGCTGTATCAACCTGCTCCATTTTAACCGCTGTATGTCTGAATAGATCCGTGGACTCGGGTATAGCGCCATTATTGCCCAGCATGGTGGTGCGTATGCGTGATCGATGCACCCACTTAAAGTCGCCCTATAATAACAAAAACGAGATCCACATTAGCGAAAATTTGATGAATTTTAGGGAATATAGACTTACGGATTTAATGCGATTGACTGCCTCCTCGGGATTCTCGGAGTAGTGTTTGGGCAGCAGCAGCCGTCCTTCCGAGTGCTGTGGGTCGGAATTGAAGCCAACAATCGGTGTTTTCTGCTGGCTGAGGGCAAAGAGGGGACTGGCACGATTCGCTGATAGCAAAAAGGTACCATCACCGCCAACGGGCACAATAACATCAGCCCAGCTCATCACATCCTTGCTCAGAGAGCTTCTAAATTCAAGTCTGCTTGTTTAATAAAGTCAAACAGCAGCCGCAAACAGGGACACGTTATGTGGATGGCGGGAATCAACAAAATTTGTAGTTGGATGACAATGACGATCGATCAATTTATGGAACACACATCAAGCACAATCACAACAACACCACACACAATCAATATACATATATATCCATACATATATATACATTGATATGTGTACTGTACTGTAAGAGGTTCCACAAAACATCTCATTTACCCACCTGCTCGACAGCTTTACCTCGCAGCCAACATTCCTGAAGCTGCGTACGATGCGACGCTCGAAATCCTTGTGCAGGTTATGCAAGTAGAGCATGTTCTCCACATCGGTGCCGCGATCTCGTAGCTTCTGCTCCAGCTGTTCCCGCGAGAGATCCGGATGACGCATTTGCTCAAACTCATACCGTGAAAGCTTGGACACAATCAAGGCGCGCTTCAGTTTAAAATTTGCGGGCGAAAAGCTAGCACATTCTGAACAAATGCAAGACATTTAAATTAAATATTGAATTATATTGTTACTATTATCTTGCTAAGCCTGACAGAATTTTATGAGCACTATTTGAATTTCGAAATACTAGACTTATTGACAGTTTTAGGTTTATTGCTTTAAAGGCTGTTTACACAATGAAATTAGTTAAATAGCAATCCATTTAATAATTAAGATTTTTGTAGATAATCTTTTAATATGACTTCTCACAATCACATGCTCCAAAGCCTATAGCTGATAATAAACGGAAGCGTAATTAAAAAAGCCAAGTACATATAATATAAATACATGTGTACATATGAACAAAGAAAATATTCAAAATAAAAAACAAAAAATCAAATCAAATAAATATTTCAGTCAAATTGCGCGCTGTAAATAAAAAATTAAAGTACAATTACCTTTTACCCATTGTTTTAGCAATTGCTTGGACTTCAACATGTTGAGTGTGGTTGAATGTAATATCATTTATTTCATGAAACTTAAATTTGCTTTCTACATAAATTCTTTGATATTTTAACGCTAGCAAAAACAATTTCTTTTAGTCCACTCTTTGTTTACAGTTTTCTGTGCTTTTATTTTTCTCATACATTGGGTAATGTACAATTTTGGCAAATTAGAGGTTATTAGTTATGTGTAGAATAAAAACTAAAGATTATTTGTCATAATGAACACGCGTTATCCGTAGCCATTGAACGCTTTTTATATTTTACGTCCACTTTCCGACTCTTTATTAGATTTACTGATTGATTAATATTCCAGCTTGTTCGTCGTCGTCACAACTCTCGTGTATGAATATTCGCTTCGTTTCGCTGTCATTTATCGCTGTTTTGTTTCTATTTTTATTCGCTGTCGGTTTACATCTCTTTACTGACAGCTTAGTTCTTGTTGTGCATTGCTGATAAGAGGCACGGCCTTTTCTTATCAGCCAAAAATAATAATAAAACAAAAATACATTTACTTTCAGTCATTCGCCTATGTGTTTGTGTGCCAACAATTCGACATTCACAACGGATGCCGCATTCTTCTTCTTATAAACATACTCCTACGCAATATTCACATTGAGCGCATTTATAGCCATTCGCCTGGAACGAAACTTATGCGGTCATTTTCAAAATTACTTAAAGCTACAAATAATTGGTAGTGGACCAGTCAAGACGTCTACTTGAACCGATGATACATTCGAAATTCAGTGGTTTGTGGTCGAATGTTCATATCGACTCCATTCGGTTCATTGGCGGGTCCAATGGTTGTATTCTGAAAAATAGTTGTAACTAGATTGGGTATATTATTAGATAAAACGAACATTTACCTGCAAATGCGACAGCTGCTGCTGCACATCCCCATTGTGAACAAAAGTGCTTAACAGCATCATCGCATTCTTGGCCACCTCGGCTACATTTAAATTCACGATGCTATTCGCATCCAAATTCATAAGATCTGCCAGACGTAGTGAGTCCGAAGCAATACTGCAACCATATTGGTTTACGCTCCGGTTAACCTGACTCATTTGATTACCAAATACGCCGTTGCTCGACTGTGGTAACATATTGGAATTGGTTTCTATTTTTGAACCCGAACGACTTGTAATATTATTAATATTGGCCATATTACTCATATTATTGTTAGCCATATTGTTATTCATTATATTATTATTATTATTCATTATACCATTATTATTATTATTCATTATATTATTCAGTATACCATTATTATTATTTATTATGCCATCATTATTATTATTCATTATAGCATTATTATTATTATTCATTATATTATTATTATTGTAAGGTAAATAGTTATAATTCATCAGAGTATTACTTTTATTATTGGCCATATTATTATTATTAATAATACTTTGCATTCCCGATACTTGATTAACGGAAGGACGAATATTGGCCATAATATTATTATTATTAATACTTTGCATTCCCGATGCTTGATTAACGGAAGGACGAATATTGGCCATATTATTATTAT